CTGCATCATCGTAGATCGAGACTTTGAATTGCTGGGGCTGGCTTCATCGATTCTGAAATTGAATCCTTCACTTGGACAGGATGGGAGGCGCAGGATCTCTCACCACCCTTATTATGTATGTTGCCTTTGCTGCCATGACTTTTTTATGTAATATGACTCTCTTTACTCAAACCGAGTGAGCAATTTGGATTTGCTACTTCCATTCCTTTGTCTTTTTTGGAGGTGAAGTTTCTTTCTTGGTAGTTTAGTGAAAAAGTTCAGTTACCTTTTTAATTCATTGGTTGATATTAGTAAAAATCTAGCAACAAGTTCTTTCAACACAATTTTACTATTTTGGCCTTTTTCAAGTTAGGGGAGTTCCCTATGTCTTGTTCTTATCTTGCCTTTTAAGTTTTAAAATAAATGAAAAAGTAATACAAAAATTATTAGACAGGCATGCATGGGTTGAATTCAATTTTATCAAATTAAACAACGTAATGAAATCTTCTCAAATCCTTTAATCTGTAAATTGTCTATGAAAAACTAGTAATTCATATAAAATTTATAAATTGTCCATGAGAAAACTAGTAAATCACATAAAATTTAATTAGCAAAATATGCATTAAATAGAAATAATAGTACTAAGGGAGTAAGGGGTGGGAAATTGGGATTTTTGACCCATTTCAATAACTAAAATTACCAAGTTACCCTCAATTTAAAAAAAGAAATCAAACCCAGCCCTCCCCTCCTTTCCCTCCCTGTCTCGTTCCTTCCCCTCCCTCATTCACTATCTCGTTGTCCAACCCAGTCTTCATCCCGGTCTCTCCCTCACAACAAGAAAGTTCATCTCCGTCGTTTCTTCTTCGTCTCCCTCACTTCGTCTCTATCAGAGCTTTCCCCCTTCCCTAATTGATGTAATTTTTCTTTCGAACTCGCGATCTTATTGTGAATGATTTTCTTCCTTTTTTTTCTTCGTTCTTTGCGTGGGTGTGAATGATTTCAACCTTCAGCTCTATCTGAAGTAGCCAAGGTTATTATGAAGTTTGATTTATTGTTGCTTCCATTGTTTTGTTTTAATTTTTGACTTTCAGGGTTCCATCTCGGCTTTAAGCCCGGTGGATTTAGGACCGGGATGAAACCCTGAAAGTCCATTCCAAAAGGATGGACTTTCTGGATTCCATCTCGGGCCTCATCCCGGTTCGAAATGGATCGGGATGAGTCCCAAGATGGATTCCAGAAGGTCCATCCTTCT